TCCCGAAGGACGATCGGATAGTCGAGGTGATAGCCGAAGTCGAAAGCCAGGTAAGTTGTAGCCACTGTATTGAGGGTGATCTGAAAGCAAAGTCAGAGTCCAAGCCAGAACAGTCCAGTAACCAGAGAATCAACACAGCAAGACCGAGGTACGAAAAGCAGCGAGAGCCCACGCTGGAGGAGATCTAACTGAGGGACAGTCCCTAATAAGTAGCCTCTGTCCTCAGTTGAACGGATCTCCCCCCGAGGGAGGGGCTCCTTAACCTTTTAAAACAATTTGGTGGCCAATTAGAATGCGTCCCTCAAAGAACTTTCTAGCCGAATGACATCATGCTCTTAGCTGACTGAGCATGTGTGAGTCTGAGCTCTCCGCTGTTACCAAGCATGCGCAGGGCTGAAAAGTAGGTCAGCCTGACTGACAGCTCTTGGGGTCGCCCAGGGGACACATGCTGGGTGAGCCCAATGGAAAATTCCATGAGCCTGTCTTGCGCATGTCAGCTTTAATTCTCTCTGCATTGGCAGCATTCAATCAAAATTTTCCTTGACACTCTGGACCCTCTCCATGTTGTCCACATCCCTCTTGAAGTGTGGTGCCCAGAACTGGACGCAGTACTCCAACTGTGGCCTGACCAGTGTCGCATAGAGGGGGAGGATCACCTCCTTGGACCTGCTCACGATGCATCGGTGGATGCATTACAAGGTGCGGTTAGCTTTACTGACAGCGTCCTCACATTGGCAGCCCACGTTCATCTTGGAATGAATAATGACTCCAAGATCACTTTCTGCTTCTGTGCTGATGAGAAAGGAGTTCCCCAGCCTATAGGTATGCTGCTGGCTCTTTCTTCCTAGGAGCAGTACCCTGCACTTCTCAGGATTGAATCCCATCCTATTCTCATCCGCCCGCCCATCCTGCACCCACCCTGCCCTGGCTGGGCAGCATTTGCCCCAGCCCCCCTCCTCCCTCACTGTGGAGGCCTTGATCTGGCCTCCCACACCCCTTCCTTTCCCCCTCCCCCCACACGAGACTTACCAGCTGGAGGCAGCTCTCCACGCTGCCAGGCTGTGCTGCGGCTGTACACGTGGCAAGGGCCATTTATCGGCCAAATTATTGGCCTGATATGGCCGATTTCCAATATATTAAATTTTCTTTATATTGGTGCCAATCCAATATCGAATCGGTGTATTGGTGCATCTCTATTCACGGCCCCTGTATTTATGTCCAAGATGCCCCCATCTCATGCCAATGTTTATCTATTTTTCTGTCAAGATGTCCACTTCTACTTGCCTCCTTGCCAAATACAGGTATCTGTAGCTCATCTATGTTGCATCTGCTTCATTAAAAGTAAAAACTTGCTAATTTCTCAAGTTGTTCAGCTATTACTTTTTGCAATTTCCTTTTTTAAAATCAGTGTTTTACTGAGTGCCCTTCTTATCAGGTCATAGATTCATAGGCCTAAAGGGACCTCAGAAGATCATTGGGTCCAGCTCCCTGCACCTAGCAGGAAAGACAACTGGGTCAGCTGACCCCAGCAAGGTGTCTGTCTAGTCTCCTCTTGAAGATTTCCAGGGTAGGTGATTGCACCACCTCTGGAGGGAGCTTATTCTGCAGTCTGGACATTCTGGCTGTGAAGGAGTTTTGCCTAACGTTGAGCCTGAATCAGTCTTCCAGGAGTTTGTGGCCATTACTCCTGGTTTTCCTCTCAGGTGAACAGTTGCTCACCGAGTCCTTGACGTACTCCCCTAGTGTAGTGGTAAGCTGCTACCAGGTCCCCTCTCAGCTTTTTCTTCAGGCTGAAGGATCGCAGATCCCTCAGACTTTCTTCATATGACTTGCCTTTTAAAACTCTGATCATACAGGTGGCTCTTCTTTGGAATCTCTTAAGCTTGTCCACATCCTTGTTAAAGTGTCGTGCCTGGAACTGGATGCAGTACTCCAGCTGCAGTCTCACCAGTGCTGAGCAGAGCGGAAGAATCACCACCTTGGTATTGCTGGAGATGCATTGATTGATGCATGCTAGAGTATTATTTACCCTACTGGCTACAGCATCACACTGCCGGCTCATATTCATATTGTAGTCTGTTACCCCCAGATCCCTTTCATTTGTGGTGCTAGTCAGTTTGGTGCCGCCAAACCTGTAGGTGTGTTGGGGGTTGCTTGTCCCAAGGTGGAGCACTTTACATTTCTCAATGTTGAACTTCATCAGGTTCCAATCCGCCCAACTTGCTAGCCTGTCTAGGTCTGCCTATAACTGTAGCCTATCTGCAAACTTGGCCAGTGAGCTCTTCAACCCCATATCCAAATCGTTAATAAAGATATTGAAAAAAATACTGGACCAAGCACTGACCCTTGCGGGACACTGCTGCCCACTTCTCACCAGGATGACACAGATCTGTTCACTAGGACTCTCCAGGTTCTATCCTGCAGCCAGTTTCTCATCCACCTGACTGTCTTGGAGTTAAGCCCACAATCCTACAATTTTCTCATGAGGACATTGTGGGGTACTAGATCAAAGGCCTTTTGGAAGTCAAGGTATGCAATGTCAACCTGCTCTCTCGTGTTCAGGTGGCAAGTTACCTGGTCCTAGAAGTAGATGAGGTCGGTAAAATAAGATCTGCCTGCGATGAAGCTATGCTGACCATCATTCAGAATCTTACCTTTTGCAAGCTCTCTACAGCAAGTATTAAGAGTAAAAGCAATGTTAGGATACATAAGAACAAAATCAAAATAAAAAAAAAATCATAAAAGAATTTCTCACTTGAAACACTGTGTTCAGTTTCGTCCCCTTACTTCAAAATATTATGGCTGAAAGAAATGTTTAGGCATGGGTAATGAACATAGAGGATAGAAATGCTCAGTTTAGGAGGTAAGTGATAAAGGGACTGATGGAGGTAAATAACCACCCCCACCCCCCAAAAAAAAAATCCAAGCAAAATAAGAATGAATAACAAAAATAAAGATTTGTCCTCTTGTTCCTATATTCTGAAAGAGAGTAAGCTGGAGTCATTTATGGCACCAGAAAGTAAGAAACTTGAATGTGATACCTGTAAATACATTAAAAACTAAGTATTTGTTTAGATTTCATTGCTATAAAATACTAAGGATGATAAGCTTAAAGATATTCAAAAAAAGGATTGGATTTGTATAGCTCATGTGTTCAAGTTATAATCTTAGAAAGAATTTATCATATTTACTTGCGTACCACATGTGCCTTTACACACGTATTATCATCTATTATTATGCCTGTAGCTTTCAAATGCAGACAAGACAGACCCAAGACAAGGATGACCTCTCATGAATCCACCCCTGCTCTTCAAAGGGCGTGGAAAGAAACAAAGCTAATTTTCCATAGGGATAATTCTATGGGGATAAGGGGTTTGTCCACACTGTGAAATAAGCAAAATGTTTACACATCATATCTTGCAGATCTCCAGGCACCTATACTGATGCAAAGGCCACCTGTTTGGGGGCTGATTCCACAATAGCTGTGAGATATCCTGCCCCTCCCTCCTGTTACCTAGGGGCATACTGAGCCATAGGAGAGCGAACAGACCAGCAAACTTTTCCAAAGCAGTCCATGTGCCAATAAAGAGGATGCTGCAGTAAACAACCAAATATTTAGAGGCAGTAAGATCCTGCCACACACACTTACTACTACTTTGTCACATGAAAAATCTATGCATCTAATGACTATTTTCACAATTGCAGTTGCATAAATTCACACAAGCAACATATATCATATTTTTAAAATGATAACATGCTCTCATGACTATGAAACTTGTAATGTTTTTTCAGCTGGGCTTCACCACCAGCTGTAATTTACTCTGAATATAGGAATGTTCAATAATGGTTTTAAGTAACTGTGAGTAGCTATGTTTTTTTTTCTTTTTTTAATGGTTTGCTATGAAGTGTCCATGAACTTTTAATTGGCACAACTGATTAAATCTCATTTAGACAGATATACACTCTTGGGTACTACATTCTTTTTATACATCCTAATCATAGAAAATTTGGGTTGGAAGGGGCCTCAGGAGGTCATCTAGTTCAACCCCCAGCTCAAAGCAGGACCATCCCCAACTAGATCATCCTAAGCAAGGCTTTGTCTATCTAGGTCTTAAAAACTTCCAAGGATGGAGATTCTACAACTCTCTCTGGGTAATCCAGGGGCAGGCAAAATGCAGCCTGGGGCCAGATGCAGCCCGCCAGGTCATTCTATCTGGCCTGCAGGGCCCCTAAAAAATTTAGAAAATTAATATTTATCTGCCCTGGGCTGCTTGTCATGCAGCCCTCAATGGCTTGCCAAAACTCAGTAAGCGGCCCTCTGCCCAATAAATTGCCCACCCCTGGGGTAACCTGTTCCAGTGTTTTACTATCCTCCCCATGAGCAAGTTGTTCCCTAAAATCTAACCTAATCTTCCCTTGCTCCAGCTTGAGACCATTGCTCCATGTGCTGTCATTTGCCACCACTGAGAACAGATAATGTATATTAGTCATCATACTGTATATTATACAATATATAATTGTATATATTATATCTTAGTTTAGAGACAACTCTGTACTACAAGTTCACACGCAGAGAATTATGGCCACCACGAGAAAAAGAAGAGATGCCAATTAGTCCTTTGAAAAAGCTGAGCACAGTAAGAGAATAACTTCAGAAAATAGGTAAAAAATGTGAAGGAAGGGTTGCAATCATTGCAGTTAGTACTTCCAATAGAGGCACTTTATTTAAAAAAAAAAACTTTTTTCCAAGAGAGAGAGAAAAAAAAAGCACTGGAAATATTATTTACCAGAAATGCACAGAATTTCAAAGTCAGTATATTACTTTTTTTAATATTAAACCTAAAAGCAAATGTACACAGTTGGTATAAGCTATCAAAATTTCAATTAAAATTTACCTTTTTTACTCTTTACAAGATTAAGTAAAAATAAGCAATATGGACATTAAGAGATCGCTCTTTATCATAAACCTAAGTTCCTGCATGTTTTTCATGTTTACTCCACCATGCCTTTCCGGTACGCAAGTTATACCTCTATTCATTTAATGTTTAATATACTCGGCATTTCCAATGAAACTTGAAAACCGGAAACCAAATTTTCATTTGGTCTAAGGCACCATAATTCCACTGAAGTGAAGCTGAAGACTTGGTTCCCTACGCATGAAGAGCTTAATTTTATGCAGAAGTACTACTCATTTGTTCAATAAAACCACAGTGGGTTAATTGTTCATTTCTCTTTTGTATTCAGTATTACTTCTCTGCTTGATTATTAACACTTAAAATTACCAAGTTGCCACTTTCATCTGGTATAGTTCAATTGCTGAAGTAATTTGGTTCCTGATGAAAAATCTGCATATCAAAACTTTTTACTATAAAATATTCAACTAAATGGTGTTCATAAATGAAGAAATGACATCCTTAGGCAGAGAAATGCTTGATGTCAACTCATATAAATACTTAACACCATTAAATACAATTAATCAAAATTAGAATAAATAAAATAAACCTTGCAAAATGTCTTATTCAGATGGTATGTTCAGAAGACAAACAAAACAAGATACAAAAGCACGAGTCAGTTGTTCATCACTTGCAGTATCTATCCGCTTTCAGTTTTGCTCTCCTACATGAAAAGAGAGTGGTGAAATAAAATTTAAGTTAAGGGAAATAAATGTGAGCACTGACTATTACAAGGCAAATAAGGTAGCAGCTAGAACAAGAGACCTAACCAGTACTTCTGACTTGTACATTGTTTTGTGCCACTGCACTATTAGTATTTGCATCTGCATTAAGAGGTGTTTATAGAACTAAAAAAGCACAACCCCCCCCCCCCGGTCTGTTATTAAGTATACAGGACAAAACTTAGTATTTCTACAGAACATGCTACAAGCTCGTATTCAGTAATGTAAATGTTACATTAAATATTTTGTTTTAAATATTAAAGCATTACAAATCTAACGACGTTCAGGAAATTCACTTAGTGAAAGAATTTTTATTTTGAAATTTTGGCTGCAGTCACAGTCTATGACAGGTTCATTCTTTTTTGTGCGAATGTTATATACTGCCATATGAAGCCATTCAGACAAGGGCAAACCCATACTGGGAAACATGGGGCGCCTCCACACGCGCACATTAGCTTATTTTATCATGCATTCAAGCATCACAAAAACTATGCGCTTTCACTAATTCACATTAAAAAAGGCTAATGCACCTTCTTTTAGTACCTCACAATGGAGGTACAAAATTTACTAAGCATTAGCAGAAGTGCATTAATGACCATGCAGATGCACCCATAGTATAACTCTAAATCTATAAATCCATGGGAGGGTGGAGAGGAGAGGACAGACACCCAAAACCTTTATGGAAAAGGTAATTAAAAATAAGTAAGGAAGAACAGTCTAGCATACTTTGAAATCTTCAAGAATCAGCCATTACTAGTAGTATTCTTTTTGCATTACTCTTTGGATTACCACAATTTAGAAAATAACTTTTCACCAGGGCTATCCAGCTTTGCAGTTCAGCCGCCTTTAAATCTAGATAGATAGCACTGTAACTTCAAAGCTGGCTGACTCTGAAGAAGTTACATTTTGGCCATAGGGAATCTAGAAACACAGTAAAGAATATACTCAATGGCCACATGTGTAAACTTAAAATTGCAACATTTTCTGACTTGAGCATTAACAAACTAATTTTCAGCATTAAAAAAAAAAAGAATCGCTTTCTGCTTCTACCTGAAAAAGAAAAAGGATTCCATAATTTAGAACAACTAGGCTTCCTATTATTGGATTCTGTGTCATACTCAATGAGAAAAGGGTTCTTGGAGGGAAACAGATGAAAGAACAAGTTACAAGAAGTTTGCTTTTATACATCAAAAAATTTGTTCTCAACTGACCAAACCTATTTTGCTGAAAATACAGAAAACGGACCACAGAGGAAAAATTAGGCAACCTTAACTCTAGTTGTCTTTAGTGCTCTAGGTATATTAGAGTTCCAAAATTTTTGTTTACTTAGTAAATTATTTTTGGATGGAAATTACCTGTCTAGCAGCGTCTCATGGAAAGTGCCTTCTTTTCTGGCTTTTTTGAGAGCTTTAGCATCTTCTTGGCTTATTTTGAGTTTGTGGTCTTGGAAACTTTGGAACTTTTTTCTAAAAAGAAAAATAAAGAATGTGATAACATTTCCAGTTCTACTGAAGCATGTATAACATTCAACAATTGTACTAAGATCTCGAGTTCCATGTATAGATTAAACTGGCAGAGAAGCATTGCGGTCTCTCACATTTCACTGTGTGCGCTATGAATTCAGCTACTGGATGTTCAACAAGGTTTCCGAACGGTCAGAGTCTGTGACCAGCACATTAATGAGTTAATTCAACTAGAAGCATGGTAGGTTCAAGACTCAGGGCCTAGAAAGGTTTTATGCAAGGGAAAATTGGGTATCTGAGCACAGATGGTTCTTACTGGACAGAATACTTTAAATGTAGAAGGATAACACCTGAATTGCTCTCAAACCACGTACACGTAATTGACTTCACATTGTTTAACATTTCCTTTGTCTTCTTGTGGAATATCGTCTTTCTTTTCAGTTTCTCTTTCAGCACAAGTACGGATCTTGTCAGTTAAGAAGAGAGAACAAAACAGAAAATGCACATTATTTAAATATAGCTGTTGACAAAAAAATATTTTGACATCCAAGTTATTCAGAATGTATATTGGATAATACAATTTAACAGATGTTGAGTTTTTCAGCTTGGTAATTTCCTAATGAAAAATCAAAGAACATTACTAAACAAAAATGTTTTCTGAAGTTGGAATAGAGGCCTAGGAAGGACCTCCCGGTAGCATCAGGTCCTGCTCCCTGCTATTGCTGTATAATCCCTTTCACACACCAAACAAGCTGCATGCTAAAACAAGCCAGGATTCTGCACTCCCCCTTCCCCCAAAACGTACTCCTACTAACAGGTTGTTGTCTTCTGATGGTTAGAAGCCTCCTAATTTCCAGGGTAACTTTTATTTATGCTCAAATTATTCCCATTTTGTGCCAGTGCTGACCTTTACCTTAAATACCTGTTCTTCCTCTCAGGTATCCTTTCCTGCCCATCCAACAAGGCATTTATTGATAGAAATGATATCCTCTTCTCAGCCTTTGATCTGCTTGGCAAGCTGCTCTTTTAGGGTGTTTATACGTGTGCTCCAGGAGGCAGGGGCATGGGGGGAAGAAGGGAGCTTTAAATTAGTGCAGCTCCAAGATCCATGCTAATTAAAAGTGCCTGGAGCGTCACATGTACTAGCATCCCCCTGCTAAAAAATGGTGGTGGAGCTAAACCAAAACTCAAACAAGCTTTAGTTTAAAGTGCCCCGCCACCATTTTTCAGTGTGGGGATGCTGATACATGCGACACTGAAGGCTGCTGGAGTAGAATTAAATTTCCATGCTCCAGCAGACTTGATTAATCGAGTCCTTTCCAACGCTCTGGAATTACATCATGTTGGAGCAGACTCCCTGCACATGTATAGGAGCCCTTAGTGTCTTACATTAGGCTCTCAATTCCCTTGGTTATTCTCATAGCCCTTTACTGCAACTCCTCCAGTTTGAATCTGAACCCATCTAGCTTGAATATGGGTGATCAGAACTGCACACAGTACTCTAGGTAAGACTTCATCAATAATCTTAATAACAGCATTTACATTTTTACTTTCTCAACTGGAAATACCACTCCTAACACAACATTTGCCTTTTTCACAGCTATGTCATATTTTTGGCTCATAGAATTGAGATGAAGATTACATTGCTTTTCTTAGTTTTTTAAATATTAATTTTTATTTCTATACAATTATGCATCAGGTCTAAGACATGGGAGGTGTTAGTGCCTCTCTATTTAGCCCATCTTTTTCTTGTGGTTAGGCCCTATCTGGAGTACTGTGTGCAGTTCTGGGCTCCATGTTTTAAAAAGGACATGAAGAAGTTCAAGAGTCAAGAGGCAGGCAACAAAGGTGATAAAGGGTTTGGAAAGCAAGTCATTAGACAAGAGGCTGAAGGATCTAGGGATTTACAGCTTGTGGAACTCCTTTTTTTGTTTTCTCTATTTATATGTCTGAAAAACCCTCTTGCTGGTATCTCCTTTTCAAAGTCTAACTTAGCTGGACTTTTGGCGAGCCTCATACTTCTTCATTTTTAAGACACAACTTGCTTTATTGATCAATCTCATTTCCATTCCATGTAGGCTCTCTTGCTTAGTCCTAACAATATTTGAAATGGTTATTCATCAACTTCTGGCATACCCCTTCTGACAAATTTCTCTTCTTTTTGCTTGGGTTGTATGTTCCATTTTTGAAGCAAAGAAATTCCAAACTTCCTTTGCCTTAAAGTCCTTGTGCTCTTGTCCAGTTGACTTTACTAATAAGTTCCCTTAGTTTTATTAAGATTTGTCTTTTTGAAATAGGTTCTTAAGAGTAGCTAAGTTTCGCTAATTCTGCTTATCCTTTCATTTAAATTAAATAATCAACTTATGATTATTAGATCCGAGGTTATCTATGACCAACTCTTCCATAAATGTTTTTCAAAGTACGCATTCTTACATTTTGCATTATAATACTCACACTGACAACAACAATCAAAAATTATCCATCTTATAAATTACCTTGACCATTTCTTCTTCACCTGCCATTTTACTTTTGGCTTCTATGTCTCCCTCTTCATTACATCTGATAAAGCAGCTGTTTGCTGCTAGTAAAGCCATTCTCCCCTGTAGAAACACCACCAAATAGTGGTTAGTATTACAAACGTTAGTCATTAAATTTAACCTATAAAAGTTAACTTCTAAAATACTGCAGAAAACACCAACCAACCTTATGAAGTCCAGGTGCCAATGTACTTATTTGACTGCAATTTACAAGTCAACTGTTTGCTTTACAATCTTGCAATATTTGCCATGTTATTATTTTACTGTCAGAATAAAGCATACCTTTTGAAGTATTATAAATGTATATTTTCTATTAAGAATGTTAACTTTAAGTAAATAATACCAGCCAACTGCCCGTGAAGAATGATAAGGAGGGGTGGGCGGGAATGGAGCACCGCCATGCAATGTCCCATGCTGCCGCTGCTATGCCTCTGGCCCTGTAGGGCTCCCCCCTTGCCCCTGTGTCTGGCTGTGTGCCCCTCCCCTCGTTCCATCCCACCCATTCCCCGCTGTCATGGTGGTGCTCTGCTGTGCCAGTCTGTCCTTGCTGTCCCCCTCTGCCTCCAAAAAGCAGGGCTGGGGCCAGTGTTATGTTTTTTTGTGCTTTTGTTTTTTTTTTATTTTCCTTTTTCATCTGTTGGATGCTGTGGCGAGGCTGGACCTGCTGCTGGACCTGCCACAGCACATTTGGGGGGGGGGGGGGGGGGCCCCAGGGC